CACAGTGTGGCGCTTGGAGGGAGGGCAGGGGCTTCAGGCGGCACAGAGTTTGGGGGGCGGGGGCTTGCGCGGTGCTCGGGGGCAGGGCTTCGGGCAGCGTGGTGCTCGGGAGGGCAGAGATTTCGGCGGCGCGGTGCTGGGGGGGGTTCGGTTGCGTGGCATTCGCGGGGGTGGGGGTACGGCGGGGTGGCGCTCTTCTTTTTTGCCTGGGGCGGCAAAAAAGTTAGAACCGGCCCTGCCTCTGCCCCTTGCTATCCCAGGGTTTCCCCCTCTGCCCCTGTCTGGCAGTGCATCTCTCCCTATCCTAACCCCAGTTCCTGCACCCTCTCCCTGATTCTGTCGACCTGCCCCCGCCCCCCATTCCCCTGCCTCCACCAGCTGTTCCACCCCCTTCTGGACACATTTTGGCCCAGCCCCTCTGCAGCTCTTCAGCTGGGAGGAGATTCTGATGGCAAGTGGGGGCAACGGCTTCAGCGAATGTTCCCGAGCTCGTTCAGATCACTCGAGCCTGCTCAGTGACAGCTCAGCAACGTGGGAAAATTCCTCTCCTCCGCCCCTTCCCTCTCAGGGGCTGCGCTTCCTGGGTTAGAGGCTGCTGCTGCTGCCACCTACAGTGTGATCTGGGAGCCTGGGCTGAGCAGCTGCTGCTCCCCAGTGGGGTCTGTCCAAGACCCCTCTGTGCCCCCCGGCCCAGGTGGGGACTTTCTGCAGGGGGTGGAACCAGCCTCCTGGGGCAGCCCCGGGCTCTGCCGATACCAGCCCCTGAGCCGGAGCCTGCAGGTGAGGGGAGAGACCCCGGCGGAAGGGCTGGGACCGGGCAGGAAAGTGACTCTGCACAAAGGGCCCCTCCTCGCCCCATCACTACTCCCGGGCGGGGTCTGCGAGTCCCAGAGCTACTGCCTTCCGTGACATACACACACACACACACGCACACACACCAGGCTCTCGTTAGCACTAGCAGGAGCCGATCCAGCTAGGAGAGTGAATGTCCCCAGCACACTGACCAAGGCTCCTGGGCAGAGGGGGAAGGAGATGGGGAAAAACAGTCTGGAAGGGGTGGCAGGAGTTTATTGCAGAGGGAGGTTCCCGGCTCCCAGCCCTGCCCAGCTCCATTCCCTGCAGCACCCCGGGGCAGATTGACTTTTCTGGGGACAAGGTCGGGAGCAGGGAGAGGAAAACCAGTTACTGCCTGGTCCCTGCACTGCTGAGGGAATGTGCTGCCCTCGGGGACAGTGTCAGGGGGGATCCCCAAAACTGGCTCCTTTGATTCTACTCTTTTCTAAGGCCAGGTCCACACTAGGAAATTAGGTCAGTATAACTACCTCACTCAGGGGTGTGAAAAATCCACACCCCAAGAAAAGTAACACAGTTAAACTGACCTAATCCCTGGTGTAGACCAGGGATGACCAACCTTCTGAAGCACTTAGAGGAGAGGAAAGTGATCAGCAACAGTCAGCATGGATTCACCAAGGGCAAGTCATGCACGACTAACCTAATTGCCTTCTATGAGGAGATAACTGGCTCTGTGGATGAGTGGAAAGCAGTGGACGTGTTATTCCTTGACTTTAGCAAAGCCTTTGATACGGTCTCCCACAGTGTTCTTGCCAACAAGTTAAAGAAGTGTAACCCTTCTGCCCATCTAAGTTGGCAGCAACAAGGGCCGGGTTCTGTATCTAGGGGTTCCGTTTCAATAACACAATGCAAAACCGGCTCGAGCCCCCACCCAGTGACCTGGGACAATTACATACCACCCCCTGGGCGCCTCTAAGAGGCAATACTTCCCCTCTCGCAAGCACGGAGTCTGAGTGTAACAGAAAATGTTTAATAACATGAGGTAAACAACATCAGCATTAAATTGGAAAAACACCACAACTAGAGTTTTTAGACCAAACCATGAGCGAAGACCCACCCCAGCAAATTGGGCCGTGTCCTCTCCCGTTGGTTCTTGAAACCAGCG